ACACTGGTCTCCGATAATGGCCCCCAGTTCACCTCGAACGAATTTAGTAGGTATGTCACCAATCTAGGCATCAGACACATCTTCACGGCACCCTTCCACCCCACCAGCAACAGGTTGGCTGAACGGGCAGTCAGATCAGCCAAGGAGGCGTTAGCCAGGTTCGGCCAAGTGGATTGGCATTCTAAACTGTCTCAATTCCTCCTAAGCCAGCATACCACACCGTGCACAGTTACGAACAAATCCCCGGCTGAGCTGCTGATGGGGAGACGCCTGAGGACTACCTTAGACAGGCTGCACCCCCACTACTGTCCAGACTCCCCTTTGGGGTCTGACAGTCTGGCCAGGAATTTCGCAGTTCAGGACCTAGTGTTTGCTAGGAACTACGCGGGGGACCCACTGTGGGTGGCCGGGAAAGTCGTGGCTGTCACAGGTCCGAGATCTTATCGGGTCCAACTTGAAGACGGTCGTGTGTGGCGAAGACACCTGGACCAGCTGCGGAGACGACGGAGCAGCCTGACCGGCCCAGACCCGTCTCCACCAGATGAGTCGCGGGCGCCACTCCAAGGTCCAGCTAGTGATCCCCAGAGTGATCACCCTTCACCAACGGAGCAGAGGGAGCAGGCAGTAGACCGGGACTGCCAGCCGGGAGCACCACCGTTTATCCCCAGCGAAGGCAGAGACTTTTCCCTGGCTCCAGTTCCTGCGCCGAGACCTGTTTGCCCCCCTGCGTACCCTGACCAGGGGTCCGCGAACTTGTCTTCGCCCAATGACCCTCCTGAGTTACGTCGCTCGGGTCGCCAACACAGACCACCGGCGTATCTCAAAGACTATATGTGTTCCCATCTAGGGGGAAGGGGTGTTATGTCTTGGGAACCGGTTGGGGCTCCAACCGGGTCCGCTCTTTAAGCAGATTCAACAACCGTTCCTATTGGCTGGCGCCGTTTGACAGCCGGCATATAAAAAGCCGGCTGTCAAGCCAAGCCAGCCGTTGCTCGCACGCAAGTCTGCCCGTTCACCGGCAGACGCGACAACCACCGTTCATCAAATAAACATTGTTAACCGTATGCCCTGGTCTAGCCTCTCCTTTCGTTCGAACTACAACAGATTTGATAGTGTGGAAGGCATGGGCTTCCTTAGGTCCCCAGTGCCAGGGGGATTGTTTGTCCAAAAGTCTGTGTAGAGGCTCTGCAACAGAAGCTTTGTGAGGCAGAAAGGTTAAGAAGTTCTAAGAAGGCCTGGAGCTCAGTCTTGTTAGTAGGTGTGGGTGCATCATGGATAGCTCTGACTTTGGACTCAACTCTGACTTTGTACGCCTCTGGTATATGACTCTGTATACCAGAGGCGTCAATTCTATAACCCCAAAATTCTACTTGTTTAGTGGCAATAGTGCACTTGTCTTTTTTTAACTTGAGGCCATGTTGTCTGAAACGATCGAGGACTGCTCTGACTCTTAGCAGTAATTGGGGCTTGTCAATGGCTGAAATGAAAATGTCATCAAAGTAGGGGACTATGCCTGGGAGTCCTTGGAGAAGTCTTTCCATTAGGGATTGGAAAATCCCAGGGGCTATGCTTATGCCAAACTGGAGGCGCCTGCATTTGAAAGTGCCCCTGTGAGTTACTATAGTCTGGAGTTCTGCAGCTGTGTCATCTACAGGGAACTTTGATAGGCCTGTGACATGTCTAATTTGGCGAAAATGGTTCCTGGCTCAAAAAAATGTAGAAGGTGTTGGGTAACAGGGACTGGATAGGTGCTGATTTGAAAATATCTGTTCAATGACGTCTTGTAATCAGCACAGATTCTCATGCTGCCGTCTTTCTTTAGGGGTGTAACTATTGGGGTCTCCCACTTTGCAAAGTCCACAGGCTCCAATACACCTTGTTTGATTAATTTGTCCAGCTCACTGTCCAATTTGGGGTGGATTGCAAATGGTACCCTTCAAGGCTTTAAACGGATTGGTACTGCCTGAGGGTCCAAGTTAAATGATATTAGGGTTCCTGAGTAACACCTCAGCCCCTCTCTGAAAACATCAGCATAGTCCTTGAACAAGGTATCTACTTCAGTATTTGAAATAGAGTGGATGCCGGTTACATGGAGGCCAAGGACAGGGAACCAGTCTAATCCCAATAGGCTAGGGAGGGCACCATTCACTACAACTAAAGGCAAGTAACCTTTAAATTTTTTGAATTGTATTAAAAACTTGCCTTTTCCGAGGACTGGGATGGTTCTGCCTTGGTAGTCGCGTAGGGTCAGGTGGCAGTCGAGGAGCTTCTTCTTTGTCAGTCTGGGAAGTAGCTTTTTTAGGATCCCCCAGGAAATGATGGATAGTGCAGAGCCTGTGTCAACTTCCATCCTGCAGGGTTTACCTTCTATGGAGACAAAAACACTAATTTTGTTAGAGCCTTTGTTTGTCTGGTTGGTGTGATATCAGGTATAACAGTCTTCTTGACTTTGAAAAATTGGGGTTGCCTGAGGCTTTTGGGCAAAAGTCTTTCCTGCTTGACAGACCCTGGCTAAATGACCCTTCCTTTGGCATTTCAGACAAATGGCATTCCTGAACTTGCAGGATGTCCTGAGGTGGTTTCCCCCACAGCTTAGGCAAATGGGCTGATGCCGGGGAGGTAGAATGGGGTTTGGCCTGATTTCTTCTTGAATGGGTTTCTGCTGCCTGAGGCAATTTACATCGTTAGTCCCATCAGAGCCTTCTTCTAAAGATGCCTCGTCGTAATGAATGGCTGAGCTACTCTGGCCGATCGGATTCCCCTGAATTTCTGCTGCTGAAAGGGCAGATAGTTCAGCAGCTTGAGACTCTTCAATAGCTACTGCCAGGGTTAAGTCTCGTTTAGCCAATAGATGCCTTTGTAGCCTTAAATCCCTGACTCCACAGACTATTTGATCTAATAGCATGTCCTCTAGATAGTCTCTAAACCCACAATGCAAAGTGGCTGTCCGTAGGGCACCCATGTATTCACTAATGGTTTCTCTCCCAACTTGAATTCGCCTCCTGAAAGCATGCCTTCTGGCAATTTGGGATGGCTTAGGGGAATAGTGATTGGAAAGAATTTCCTGCAATTCTTCCCAAGGAACAGCCCTGACAGAACGCAAAGCTACCAATGCTGTGGCAGTGTCAAATACTACGGCTCTGCAAAAACTTAAAAAGTAGGACTTTTTCCTATGGGCTGTAGCGACAGCAGGGTCTATAGCATCTAGAAAGCAGTCAAATCGGTTCTGTAGGATTCCCATGTCTCAGCCGTCGGTCTGAAAGGCAGGAATGCAGGGTTCGAAGTCATCTTGCTTCGGCAGTGCTGTCTCTTCTGCAGGGAAGTTAAAATTCGCGCTCACGAATAGTATCAACAGCTATGACAGTCAACTCTTAGTAACTTCGGCTCTTTTTGTAGTGACTGAGCTCAGCTATTCTTTGTCCGGCTGCCTCTTATTTGTATCCCGCCCTCGTTGCCAGTGTTGTGGAGTGGCAGTAATCACTGAGGCAAACTTGGAGCGAACATCAACTGTAATTTTATTACAAGAATAAAGAGTTGCCGCGGCTGCCGTACTAACAGGGCAGTCAGCTGGCGGCAACAGCTGATGCTGTTTGACAGCTCCTGTTATAGCTGGCTGTCAAATGGCATCAACCAATAGGAGCGGTCCGCATTCCCGCTAGAAGCGTGGACCAGAGTGAAGACTGTGGGTTAGTCCAATAGACGCAACAAAAACAATCCAATCAGCTGAGTGGAGAAAGAAGAAAAAAGTGCAGGATCAGCCCTCCCACCGACCCCTGCACTTTTCTCTTCTTTATTCTCTCAGCTGATTGGCCTCAGCTGGTATGGAGAAAGCTATACGCACATGCTAGGTGTGTGTGTAATAGGTGCATGTGCATTAGTTGTGTGTGAATGCGCACATGATCACTGATCTGGTAGTGGAATGGGTAGGATCCCACTACTGTTCCAAACTCTTAGTATGGCACGTTTAGCAAAATAATTATTAAAATTAACATTAACTTTATCATACCATAAATAACCATGCCATTCAAACATTAATTTGTAGCCCTCTAATTCAAGTTGCCTCTTATTCTGGAGGTTCACTCACTCTTTTAACCAGGCCAGACAGCATGAATCAAAATACAATTTCTGATAAATCCAAAGTCCCTCTTTCCATAGCATCTTGCAGTAGTTTGTACCTAATTCTTGGTTATTTTCCCTTGCCATATAAACTCAGAAACATCCCTCTTCCATTTTTTGAAGGGATCATCGGTTGCAAGGATTAATATATATTTGCTTTTATATTTGTATTTGTCAACATAACCCCTAAGTATTTCACTTTTTTCTTGACCCTAAAACCCAGCTTTGAATCAATATGTCACTGTTCTGAGATGACATATTCTTGATCAACATCAATATATTCGCCACAGGAAAAAAAAAATATAGTAGCCTGCAATTTTACATTTACTGCCATCACCACAGCTAAATGGTTTAGAGATGAGTTGGAGAAAGATATTCTAAATAAATGGGGAAAACTAAGAAGTAAAATTAAAATTATAGTATCCTTCACTTTGGGTTTTTTTCAAAATGTAAGCTACAGTTTCCATCTCAAATTATGTGTAAAACTCACTATTTTCACTAGGTGGTAGTAATCAAACTACTTATATCTATACTTGGCTATTGGTCAGAAATAGCAATTTTACTAATCACAATAAAAATAAGACCTCATCATTTAAGTCTTAACATGTAGGTTATAGTTTTTTATAAAAAAAACCAGTGAAGCAGGTTTATACATTTTTATGTAATTTTCAAATTTTCACTTAAACAATTGAATTATATTAGTAGGATAACAAAAACTTTAGGCATTGTTTCTATAATAATTACTTCTAATTTGAGGTCTTTCATATCTAAGTGAACTATTCATTCATCTTTGTTGCAGGAATTTTCTAAAAGATAATTCTAAAAGTTAATTCTTGGAATCTCAAATTCACAACTTCTTCAGATTTTACAATACATGCAAAAAGTCAATCCAAAAGTGTACTTTCCCAGAGTCTCATAAAAGCACCTTTCACTTCTTTGTTCCTCAAACTATATATGACAGGGTTTAAAGCAAGGCAAATGATCGTGTGAAAAAGAGAGAGGTATTTGTCTGCATTTGGAGAAACAGTGGAATTGGGTTTCATATACTTAATACAAGCAGAACCAAAGAATAAGATCACAACAATGAGATGTGAGGAGCAAGTGGAGAAAGTCTTTTTCTGGCCCTCAGAGGTTGAGATCTTTGAAATGGCAGCAATGATTCCAGAGTAAGACATTAAAATCAGAAAAAAAGGAAAAGTTGCAAAAATCACAACAACTACAAAATCAATTCTAAATGTGTTACCACAAGCCAATTTCAGTAATGGAGGAATGTCACAAAAATAATGATCGATAACATTAGAATTACAAAAGGGCATTGTGAATACCATAGTTGTATGGCCAAAGGACATGAAAAATCCACTTAACCGAGAGGCTACAGCTAAGTTAGTACAAACATTTTCCCCCATTAGAACAGAGTAGTGCAGTGGCTTGCAAATGGCAACATAACGATCATAAGCCATTGAGGCCAAGAGGAAACATTCTGTTCCACCCAAAAATAATGCAAAATAATTCTGCACAGCACAACCCATAAAGGAGATGAATTTATCCCCGTTTTCATTGGGATTTTTGCTTTTTCTATCTATGCTCCTGGATTATTTTGGCCTCCTTTTTTCTTTTTTTTAAATTGAGATTTTCTAGCTGGATTAAGATGTGAAGAACCTGAAGAAACCTTTTTGTTTTTCTTTGTTCTTTTTATTATTATTATTATTATTATTATTATTATTATTATTATTGGGTTCTCTTCTTCTTATTTTTATTTTTTATTGTGGACTACTTTATAATTGGATTAGGGTCAGGAAGAACCTGAAGAATTTCTTCTTTTTTCCTTTTTTTTTCTTTCCTTCACTACTGGGCTTTTTACAGCTGGACTTTTCCACTCTGGATTATAATTGGCTACGTTTTTAATTGGATTAAAATTTGAAAGAATCTGAAGATTTTGAACCATTTAAAATGAGCAAGAAACTCATACCTTCGGGTGCTTCTATATCTACTTCTGCCTCCTCACCATCTGGAGGACAACGTTCAACGCAGATAATGTCAAAGCAAGATAAAGAGCAAGAAAAAGTAACTTTACAGATGATTATGCAAGGAATTCAAGACCTTAAGATAAAAATAGACATCACTGAACAAAGAACAGGGAAGACTGAAGAAAAGGTGGAAAATATCCAACAGATGATGGTGAAGTACGATGTGAGACTTCAAAAAGTTGAAGAAGAGGGTAAACGAAGAGAGGAGAAGATTGGAAATATTCATACTAGATTAATAGTGGTTGAACAAGAAAAAAGTGGGATGCTGAAGTAGGAGATGGAGAGGTCAGAATTCTATCTCAGATTCCAAAATATAGAGGAAGAAAAAGGGCAAGACTTGGCTGCGATAATGATAGAAATCTTGGCTGATGCTTTGGAAATAACAGAGGAAAAGATGATGGATGGAATAGATGAGATATACCGAGTTTCCACAAGATATGCGATGAGAAATAACCTACCCAGAGAAGTTCACATTAGATTTACTAAAAAATCCATCAAGACACAAATTTTACAAGCGGCAAGAGAGAAGATGTTGAAATATAAAGGTAAAGAAATCTTGGTCCTAAAACAAATACCTAGAAGAGTGAGAGAGATGAGAGGAGAATATCGATTTCTAACCAAAGTGTTATTGAAAAAGGAGGTGAATTACAGATGGCTGATCCCAGAAGGACTGATGTTTATATGGCAAGAACAGAGACATAGAATTGATTCAACTGAGAAAGCAGAACTCTTCTACACAGAACTTTTTGGAAGGAGAGAGGAAGAGGCAGAAAAAGAGGTCTTATTAACTGAATCCCAAGAGGAACAAATGGAGATTGAAAAAGAAGAAGGCGTAATAGGTGGACAGGTGGATATCAAAGACCAACGTGAACCAAGATGTATGAGACCTGCCAAACCTAAATATAAAATATCATCATGGAAGAGAAAAAATTGATTACAATGAACATAAACGGACTGAACTCAGCTGCTAAGAGAAGGAAGATTTTTCATAAATTAGGGAAATTAAAGTTTGATATAATTTGCTTACAAGAAGTACATATTAAAAAACAACATGAACAATTGTTAGTACAGCCAAAACTAGGGAAATTATTTACTTCTTTGACTCAATGTAAGAAAAGAGGAGCGGTTTTATATATTAAAGAGGCCATCCCCGCAAAATTGATTCACGCTGATGAAGATGGAAGAATATTAATGGTGGAAATGATGGATAATAATATAAAAATACTTTTGACTGCAATTTACGCTCCGAATGATAAACAAGAAGAATTCTATAAAAAATTACATATGAAAATAACTGGACTGGACTATGCTAATATAATTATGATGGGAGACTTGAATGGAATTGTGGACAATAAATTGGACTATATAGCAACAACAGCAAAGCACAACAGAAAGACACTTCCTAAATCCTTTTTTAAAATGACAGATGAACTAATTTTAAAAGATATATGGAGAGAAAGAAATGCTAAAACCAAACAATATACTTTTTATTCAAATAGACACGTATCATGGTCCAGATTAGATATGATCTGGATTTCAACAGAATTAATATCTAGTATTCAAGAAATAAACATTGAAGCAAGTACTTGGGCAGATCACAACCCATTGACAATTAAATGGAAGGGACAAAAAAAAAGATCGAGATGGACGTTAAATAACACTATTTTAAAGGAGAAGGACTTTATACAACGGTTCGAGAAAGAACTTGCCTTTTTCTTTAAAGAAAATAGAAAAGAAGATACTTCAGCACAGAATGTTTGGGACACAATGAAGGCATATGCGAGAGGTTTGATAATAGATTACATAAGAAAAAAGAATATTAGGAAAAGGCAAGCCACTAAAGCCCTGGAAGACGAGCACAAAAGACTTGAAAAAGAACTACAGAAAATGCCACAGAAAAAAGACATCAAATTGAAACTGGATATAACTAAACATAAAATGGATTTAATAGAGAAAGAAGAACTGGCACAGAAGATTAGGAATGCTAAACAGAACTACTTTGAAGATGCAAATAAGCCAGGTAGATGGCTAGCATATAAGCTGAGAAAGGAGAAAGAGTCGAGGAAAATATCACAGTTAATAGATGATCAAGGTCAAGTTTGTTATGGCAATAAAGAGAAAAAGGAAATTATTCGAGACTTTTATGGACAACTATACGAGAAAGAGAATATTGATGAGGAAAAAATTAAACAGTACTTGCAGAATGCAAACTTACCTAAAATATCTAAAGAGACTGAAGAAATGTTAGAAAGTAATATAACAATGATGGAACTAAGCCAAGTACTTAAGAAACAAAATAATGGGAAAGCACCAGGTCCAGATGGGCTGCCTGCAGAATTCTACAAAATATTACAAGAATCATTGAGCATTCCACTTTTAGATGTTATGAATGAAGCTATGTCAAAGAAGACGATACCTAAAACATGGTCAGAGGCTTATATTATACTTATTCCAAAAGAGGAGGCTGACCCACTGCAAATTAAGAATTACAGACCGATTTCTTTATTAAATGCAGACTATAAAATTTTTGCTTCGATATTAGCAGAAAGACTTAAAAAATATTTGAATAATTTTATCCATCCAGATCAAAATGGATTCCTGCCAAAGAGACAAATTAGAGACAATATGAGAGTAATTTTGGACACTTTGGAATATTATGAGGCACATCCTGAAAAGCAAATGGCTTTGATATTTTTAGATGCCCAAAAGGCATTTGACAATGTGAATTGGAGATTTATGTTACTCTTACTGGAACAGATGGGTTTTGCTAGAAGATTTATCCAAGCAATAGAAGCAATTTATCATGAGCAAAGTGCAAAGGTAATGATAGAGGGAGAATTTACAGACTCTATTAACATAAGAAAAGGCACAAGACAAGGATGTCCCCTTTCTCCCTTGCTATTTGTATTGACTCTGGAAGTGTCGAATAGAAATATTAGAGAAGATAAAACTATAAAAGGAATGAAAATTAAAAAGGAAGAATTTAAATTACAAGCCTTTGCAGATGACTTAGTTTTTATTTGGGGTATTCTTTAGAAAGACCCAGAAGGATGAATTTGTTTGGTGCTGTGTTGTTTTTTAGAACATTTTCTTTCTTTATATGCATCCTGGAAAACAAAAGCAACTATATGTTAATTTAATACATTAAAATTTGGTTTTATTCAATTCACTTATGTGTGAAATCATACTGAGGCTTAATAATATTAAACTTGGGACTTTGGATAAATCAATGGTGTAACCATTCAATTTGGCCAGTTTCTGATTATCAGACAACAGATGAACTGTTCATACAGGTATTACCTGCAGATAAAAAAAATCATTGTTATAACAAGACCACTCCTGTTTTCTCAAATTAAAGTGTTCATTCTGATGAAACATTCATTCATCCCAGTATAAAACATCTTAAGAAGAGTTACAAGAGTCCAGTGCAAAAAGAAGTTGTTTACTTTTCTCTATAATATTACCTTTGACACCAAACCTTTTATTAAAAACAAATGTTTCCAGTGCCTTAATCTCATATCATTAACTACATTCAGATTTGGAAACATGATTAAGAAAATGTTTTATATTTTTCCTATATTTCCTCCCTAATTATAATAATATCTATTTGTGTCTAATTTTCAGTTTATTTTCTTTCATTAGGAACCCTTTCTTTGGAAAATTCTATTTTAGGGAAATACATTTTAAAAACAATCAGACTAGAGCAAAATATACAGTCCCTTCAGGAGTAGAAGATTCAAGAATTTTTAAATAAATTTTAATCTATTACAGATATTTCCAGGTTTCAAGAGAAATGGAAGTATAACAAATAATTTTAAAAAATATAATGAGAAACTGGAATATCTGATACAGGAAAATCCATTGAAAATGATTTTGCACAACCAATTTCATGTTTCTACTGATTGAAATGTTTCTTTTCAACAGAAGAATCATTTGTATTGGATAGTTACATGGTTTTTAGGAAACATATATGTTCAGCTATTTTGAGGAGAGGTACTCATAGTACAACATTATTTTACCTATTTGCATATATGTCTTACATCACGGATTGCTATCATGTGATGTATTGCAACTTTTTTCCCCTTTACGGAGCTGGGGTGGGTGTGGCCCAAGTGTGATGCATCTGGCCCACCGGCCACCAGTTTGATACCCCTGTCTTACAAGATCTTTTCTCATATACTTAATGTATAATGTTATTACTTGTTTTTATGGTTTCTTTTTTCCATTTCTATATCAGCTGTTTTGAAAATAATAGGAAAAGAAAAGAAAAAAACTGTGTGGGAGGTAATCCCTTCTTTATCAAGTAAGAGCTCATATTCTTTTGTAATTCCAAAAAGTATTTTAATATCAGAAATCCTATTATTATTATTTTGTTAAGCAAAATGAAATCAATATCAATACTATAACTGTGTAAAGCAGGGGACTATGAATTATATATTCCCCCTCCTCTCGGTCATAACAAAACTAGCAGTATGCCTTAGGCCAGTCACAAACTCTCAATTGAAACCATTGACAGGATTGTTATTATGGGAAAAGTAGGAGATGGGAAAATTAGGTATGCAAGCCATCTTGAGTCATATATAAACATGGCAGAATGAAATAATAATGATGATGCTACCACAAAAATGGCATGACAAAGTAGCAACAACAGTGCATTGGAATATATGCAAGAAATACCACTTGCCTGCAAGCAAAAACTGGTTGGACCAGAAAACAGACGAAGTAATGGAAAATGAAGAAGTTTAGGACTTTAGAATTTAAACAGATCATCATCTCCCACATGACATCCCAGACTTAACAATTATCAATAAAAAAACCAAAATAGTCTGGATAGTGGATGTTGCAGTACCTGGAAGAGAAGAAGAGAACAGAAAGAACTGGAAAAAAAAGATGTGCAAATAGGAGTAGATCAACCATAGCAAAAGAAATAAAATAAAATACTAATAGCAATAGGTGCCTTGGGTGCAATCCCCAAAACTGGAGTACTACTAGAATACCATGGGCATTGGCAAGTCAACATCAGTCAATTGCAAAAGACAACTTTACTTGGACCAGCTTATATCCCACAATGATACCTTTAACACCATCAAATAACAACATCTGCCTATCCTAAATTCTTGGAAAGGTTGCAATAAGTTGACAAAAATCCCAAAGTCAGTCTAAAACTTCTTGTGAAGAATAATAATAACAGCAATCATTAGTAGAAAACTTTTTTTTTCTACAGTAGTGATGCTCATACCATCATTAAAGAAAGAACCTGTATTTGGTTAATATAGTTCATCTTCCCTTAGAGAAATTTCAGGAAAAAATCCATTTAGTTTTTATCATACATGATTGCTAAGCTTCAACAGATAACTTGTACAGTTAATCTCTAACTTTCTTTTCAGAAACTCAGCTCCTACATTCTTGAAGGAGTTGTGCAAAAGGATAAGCTGAAAAGATGACTATAGTAATATGTATCAAATACCAGTCCCACTTAGAATGATCTATTATAACATTATGCCATTTTATATATATGATATTGGAATTCGCATAATTAGGTGAAAGATATCCCTTAAGTTATTGAAACTTTTTTCAGTTGTAGACTTGCACAGGATTGCACTAAAGAAGACTTTATTTTTCTTCAGTCTTCAGGTGTGTATCTTCTTTTGTTATTTCATTATCCACTGTCACACCATAAATGATTTGAATTCCATGTAAGTCTCAACCATCTATATTTATCCTGTTTGCCCATATCAACTTCAGATCATCTCACCTATTTCAGTTTTTGTCATACATATTCCCACAATTTCTGAAGCTTAGAAATAGTGTCTCAATGCATCCTCTTCACAATGTGAGTAACCAAATAATTTAATGCAAGGTAATTAAATGACTAAATTAACCTTCCTTTGGAGGGTCCACTTTTAAATCTTCTCTTTCAATAAAAACAATTGAAGGAAAATGTTCTGATATTTTATACCCCCTTAAGCAGATTTTGATTCTGTATTCGTGTGAGTTTCTGATAAGTCTTCTTAAATACTTCCCTCCCCGCCTCCATTGGCTGTCATAGGTAGCCAGGGTTAGAAAGGCATAATTTATTATAAAATAATCAGCATGCCCTTTGTACAGCAGAAAAGTTTTCTCCCTAAGAAGATAGAATTTTTAATTCCCTGATGCAGATTCCCAATGAGAATTTAATGCTGCCAAAGCAAAATAAAAAATAAAAAAAAATATTTGAAACAGAGAAAACTGGCAAAATAAAAGGCAAAAAAGAAATGTAGAATAAATCATAAACTTCCCATTCATAAAATATGAAGCAGAATTTTAAAATATTCCTAATGCTAGAATGGTTTGTTCTGGGGACTTCTTTAAAAACGTCATTTTTACACTGATTAGTGATGTCCATTTTTCATATTTTATGGTTCTTTTGGAATTCTGAAAATATTATTTCCCCCCTTCCCCCCCCCCCCAAAAAAAATCTTAACATACCTAATTCTTGTCTTCAATTCAGGTGTGGGATTTTTTAAAAAGTAGATAATATATATTTCAAATTCTTTCAATATATTCAGTGTAGTGAAAGACTCACATTATTTATTTTCTCATTTATTTATTTATTAGAAACATTGTTTTGATAACATTGGTCAATTTACTTTTTTCAAAAGTTTTGCTTTCTGAAAAACTTTTGGTGAACACTAACATAATTTCAGAATGACTATATCACATAGGACTCCCGAGAAATATGAATTTAACATTTAATTATTATAATTGTCAGTTTCTGACATGCTATAAAGTTCAAGAGGGCTAAAAGTGTTTTTCTGGTGATTTTCATTTTCAGTGTCTATATAGCATCTTGCAGCACTGTTCAACAATAGTCAGACAGTACTGATGGATTCTTGTTCCCAATAATTTAATTAGCTAACAGGTTGAAAATACCTCCCCCTCGTATTTTCTCTATGGCAACAATCCTATGAAGGGCTAAGAGAGAGTGCCTGGCCCAAGATCACCCAACTGGCTTTCATGGCTAAAGGGGAACTTGAAGTCATAATGTCTTGCTTTTTAGCCTGGTATCTTAACTATTAGAAGAATATCTTACAGATGCAGTTTGCCACAGGTGAGGAGGCTCTGAGGATTTTTGTTGCTTTGATCACCACTTTGGTTTGGTTACAAGGCAAAATGCACCACAATAAATAAACAAACAAACAAAAAGAGTGTGGCAGAGATGATTTATCATTTATTTGTGTTTACTTTGTTTTCCTTGAGTTGTATTCCCCAATAATAATAATCCAAAATTATTAAATTTTTATTGTTTTTTAACTTGAAAACTATGATAAGGCAAAAAGATTCTGCGGAACACTAAAGAAACATGTAATCAGCCTACACCAGAGGTCCCCAAGCCCTGTTCAGAACCAGGCTGCACAAACTCCTTCATATGCACCACCTGCTCACACAAATGGAGCTGTGCATGCTTGTGCACACCTGCCTATCACTTACAGGGAACTATCCCCTCTCTCCTCTCCCCGCTTCACTGGGCTACTAAGCCACAAAAGTTGGGGAACACTGGCCTCCACCAAAGCAATATATACATCTTAATATTTCAAAGAGAACAGCCAGTAAGAAGGCTGGCTATGAACAATTTTGTTCTGTACTTTAATGTATGTCAAAAATATACCTGAGTTCAGGCTAATTCCCCCCCGCCCTCCACACACATACATATATATATATTTTTTTAAATTAAGAGTCAAATATCTTGTTTGTCACTTTAGCACTTCCAACTTGCTACACCACATTTGATGCCCACAAGCAAATGCATCCAATCTTTCATAGTTACTTGGAAATAGTATAAGACAATAACAATAGAAATATTGTTTTTATACATGAATTTCCTGCAATTATGAAATTAAGTTTGCTACTGAGACTCTTTTTCTTCTCTTTTCATGTCCTTAGAATTATTTTAATGTACATTTTACCCATCTGGAATTTACACATATGTTGGAGAATTCTCAATCCAGAAGAAAAGAACTGTACTTCATCTTGCAATTGCCTTTATTAAATTATTAAACAAAACAAAGTACAAGGTACATCAGTACAAACAAAGCAAAAAAGCAAAACCTCTGCTTGTAATGACTAGGTGTCTGCTTACATCACTAGCATTGTTGTAGGTGCACTTAAATATTGTCTATCTCTAAGTAAAGCACCACAGAAATAACAAAGTTGAAGAAAATAAAACTTTTGGGAGAAATGTGTTTGATTTGCAATTGAATAATACTTAATCTAAACCACTTTGGAATGATTGAAGATTCACACATTTTAATTCCTTCTTGAAAATTAGGTGAATTTCTTTACCCTTCCCTCAAAGTATGAATCCTAGACGAAACTTCTTTGCACAGGCATTCAGAAAATTTGTGCAAAATGTTTTCACAAAGTATTTCCTATAACAGAGCTTTTGGTATGATAATTAATGGGATGGATATTGGAAAACTATGAATTCTAATCCTACCTTAGACACAAAAACTTATTGGATCATATTGGACCACTCATTCTCTTCTACTTTACTTTATAAACTATATATAAACTACATATGGCATATAGTTGCTAAATGCAAAGTGTAATCTGTTCTGATATTGAAAATCTGAGTTGCAAATTCTAATCTAATTTTTAATATAATTATCAGCTCTATAAATCAGAACATGGCATTACCTAAAATACATTATCAGCATGGAAATTGTTGTGGACAATAACAGTGTGAATAGAGCTTATAAATCCACTCCTGGTTTCCCAAGCTTGTTTATTATAGAATTAAATGTGCAACTGGAGAGTTTCTTGCAGCTTTTAAAATATTTTGGAATAAAAACTATTATGACTCAAATCATGCAGGTATCTATTGTTGACTTGCATGTGGATCTAAGTTTTAAAGGAAAGAAATTTGGCTTCCCATATGACTTTGTATTGAAGTAAGTGGCTGCTATAATAAATGTGATCTTTTAATTGGTACGGGAATCTTTTTTTAAAAATGTAACAAATTAGGCTTTAAAAAAACTTTGAAAAATGAGACATCATGAGATATACAAATACATATTGTAAGGTTGAAGATACATCTTCATCATCATCAATAAAATCATCTACCTAATTGTAACAATAGTTTAAGAATTGGATGAGTAAGGCTATTTTTTAAGGAATTGTCTACAAAATCAGCAAAAATAATGTTTCATACTCATGCAGAATTTTGCTAGTATTTCTTTTATGGCATCTTTTACTGGTTTGTTCCTTAAACTGTAGATAACAGGATTAAGCATTGCAGGGGCCATTGTGTAGATGAGAGACAGGAGCTTGCCTAAAGAATCAGAATGATCAAACTTTGGACTTAAATAAGCAAACATAGCTGTGCAATAGAAGAAGATAACAGAGACCATATGTGAATAACATGTGCCTAAGGCCCTTCGCCTTCCAGCGGGTACAGAAAGCTTTGAGATGGCAGTAATAATCAAAATATAGGAAACCAGGATGAATATGAATGGGATGATAAGAACTAGGAATACAGCCAGAATATTTTCCATATTATTTATAAAATTACTTGGGTAATTCAGTCTCATCAGTGGAGAGATATCACAGAAGAAGTGATTAATAACATTAGAACCACATAAGGGCAGAGAAAATATCAACCATGTCTGTAATAGAGATACAAACAAGCCAATGATCCAGCAGCTGGAGACAAAGAGGAAACAGGTTCTCCTGGTCATGAGTCTTATATAGTGCAAGGGATGGCAAATTGCCAAATAACGATCATATGCCATTACAGCCAGGAGGTAACATATAGCAGTTCCCAGGAAGATGTAAAAAAACATCTGCATGGCACACCCCAAGAATGAGATAATCTTCCTCTTTGTTATGAAGTGTACAAGCATTTGAGGCAGAATGACAGATGTATAACAGATATCCAAGAAAGATAAATGCCTAAGGAAAAAATACATGGGAGTGTGTAGAGCCTGGCTATAAATAGTGGCTACAAAGACTATCAAGTTCCCCATCAGAATAAAAAAGTAGATTATCAGGAAAACAGCAAAAAGCAAAGTTTGTAAATCAGTTCTTTCAGAAATTCCAAGGAGTACAAATTCAATAGGAGTGGTACTATTCGCATTCATTATTTTGGGTGCTTTTCCTGTAGGAAAGGAAGAAGGAATGCAATAAAAAATTCATACATATTTAGGACTTGTTTATTTATTATATTTATGACAAAAAAAGAATCAGCAATGTTAATTTCAGACAAATACCAGAACCTTACATAAAGGGTTCATATTTTAATTCTAAACATATGATTTATACTTTTCTAATCTGAAACAGGTTTAATTTTACTTTGCATTTTTCAAGTTTGAAATGCACATTCAAAGTCCATGTACAGAATCCATTACATCAGGAAATGGATCTGTATTTGAAATAAGTCAAACATTAAATTAAAAAGGAGGGAATTATTTGATTGTCAATAAGGAAATATATTGAAAAGTGCACTTCAGTATGTTCATCAATTTTTATTTAAGAGTAATAATAAATACAGCTGAATATATTGTTCCAGATATGTTCCTTTGTTAGATTATATGGGGAAAAAAACAATTATCATATAATTTTCCTTCCATTTCTGCTACATATGATTCAGAATTAATATCTCTTATATTTATATGAAAGAGATACAAAAATGCATTACTTTGCATGTATTAACAATGTAAAGATATTAAGAGAAATTTGGAATATTTATAACAACTAAATATTTGAAAACCTATGACCAGAAAAAGAAATAATTATATATATAGGCAAAAATTTGTTTATTTCTAAGTTTTGGTCCTAAGATCTGCAAATATATGATAATTCGTATTTTTTTAAAATAACTAAAGGTATTGACCTATATCTCTATCATTATAAGCCTCATGAGTGTTTTCATGGATTTCTCTTACATCTTATTCATTAATTCTAGTACTAGGTCAGTTCAGGATATGTATGTAGTTCTTGCACAGTTTTATATTATCTGCATAAAGGCTACTTTTAAAATGTGTTCCATATAATCTGACACATATAGAACCTTCTTGTAAACAGTAAAAATAGCTACCAAGATATATCAAAAGTATAAAAGAAACTAGGTAGAATACATGAAGAATACTTACCAGTGAAAAGCTGAGCTTTTCTTAAAATTTGAATGTAATTTTCAAATACTCATGCAGTGTAAATAATTTTTGATGTTTAGTAATTATAGTTCAATTTTAGTAATTATAATTCAATTTCAAGTTCCAGGTACTTCCACTGATAGTAAAACAGAAAGAGAAGAAAGAGTTATACTGAAAGCAACAATATACAGAATGATGAATGAATTTAACTTCTTTCAATTAATTTCCACTGGGACTTCCCATAGGAGAACCATGGAATATTTCAACAGTAGTATGATTTAATACAATTTATAGACCCTTTCCCCTTTTTTGACTATAAATGATGGCTTGCTCTATCTATTCCTGTTTCTTTCTTTTTTGTGTGTGTAAATTTTATTTGAGTTTTCACAAAAAATACAAATAAAAGATCTTTTTTGAAAGTAGCATAATCCTGAGTTACATTTCTTCGTACAGACACAAATTCAATTTCATGCTCATTTTTATGTTCTATTCCATATCTTATTACTGTTTTACATTTTCTGCATAGCTTCTCCCCTCTTTTAATTTTCTCAATTTTATTTTAATTATCTCATCTCAATTCAAATCATTATATTTATATTTTTTGTCTGTTCTGTTTCAATTATCTATTATCTTTTCCCATTAAACAAAGTTTCTCCTGTAGTTACAGATTGGAGTATTATGCCTTTATATCTTTTAAGTTTATCCATTTAACTCTTATTTAGGCTTCAATATATACCCTAAGGTTATAACATTCAATATAATACATAACTTCCATTCTTATTCTGCTTGGTACATTCTTAAAATACACACTATATTCTTAAAAAAAGAAAAAAATATAAATGTATGTAATTAAAACAACACATTCCATTCTAATTCAATTCTATCATTAATATTAATATTCATTAAAGTCTTAACTTCTTTAACATTACTTTTCAATTAAATATCATACTTCTATGGGAACAATTATAAGCTTTCCATAATTAATCCTCCCCTTCACTTATATTTTATAAAACATTAACTAATTAAAATGTTCCCGTTCCTTCCTAATTCAATTTTCTCATTTATTTTATTTCAGTTATTCTATTAACAAACATTTCACTAAATTACACTAAATATTTTATCCCTCCTTTTAATCATACATTTCCAATTTTCTAAAGTTATTTCTATTACTAATATAACAATACAATCTTATGTACCTTTACAGAATCCCTTTTTCAGTTAAATTTTCACCCATTATCTCTAAATAGGTCCTGTTTCTCTATATCCTGGTCTGGTTCTTTGTAATTTCTTTTCTTTTCCTTCTTCCCTCTCTTCTTCTCTCTCCCCCCTTTACCCCCTTGTCTCTCTACCTCTATTTCTCTCTTCTGTATTCCCCACTTCTGTTGCTTTCCAGTATTATACTTATTTTTCGAATTTTTTTTCAATTTTGTTGTTTTTTAAGTCTTAAATTCTCCATTCTTCTTTCCCCCCTTTCCTGTTTCTTCCCCACATAGAATTACTTGTTCATTAAAGATGGCTTCTTCTTTGTCCCAGTCTTCTTGTTTTGCAGATGTTTCTTGTTGTTTCTCATACTTCCAAATCTCTATTTCTAAGAATTGAAAAACGAAGCCAAAAGAACCCCTCCCTTTTTGTGCATCTTCTTTATACTTTTTAAATTCCATTTTCAATTCATCCAGAAGTAGTGCCATTGTATAAATTTTTAAACAACCACCCGATTAATTTTAGTCATTCAAATGCAATAACCAAAAATCCAAAGATCACCAAGTAATCCAAATACACACAAACTGTTTCTTTTTGCTCTTTTTTTTTCACTTTCTCTTCCTGGGGTTCTACTGTTTAGTTACAAAGTTTCAGTTAAAATGTATCTTTTAGAAGTCTTGTTGAAGTTTTACTGTAGATTCTTTTTAATTCCAGGCAGTCTCCTCCCTCTTTCCAGATCCTGCCCTTTTATTCTTTTTCTCTCCCTTCCTGCTTATGAAAAAAAAATTTAGTGTCCAGAAATCTTTATTATCCCTTTGACTTTTTTTAAATTTTCAGCTTAATTGCCTATTGATGTCAAAGCGGATTTTTCTGATTTCTTATTTAAGTCTCTTAGTTGTCAGTATAGGGGAAGGGAGAGAAGAAAAGAAAAAAAACCCAAACCTTTCCCTTTTCACTTTCATTCACTGCTTCCAACTCTTCTTTGGGAGCGATGTTATTTTTTTGTAAGTTTAAATTCCAGGGTACCTTAGTTGTTGCTTTTGCAATTTAACCTGGTCAGCCAAAACTTTCACTTCTTATCTTCCTCCTGCACATTCTTTTCCGGTCGAGTTCTTCTTTGAGGTGGCCATTTCTGACCACCGCTACAACCACCTTCGGGAAAGGGAGTAATGGTCAGCTGAGGAGGGGAGATGTGGCTCTCCTCAACCCTGCTGGCAGTCTCCCCCCTCTTCACCATCTCTATGGGGTGGCTTAGCCTCAAAACCAGCTGGCTCGGTGCACTCCAGCGGCAGGCCCAGACTGAAACCACGCACGATTGTGGATTTCTGTCTGTCGCCAAAGGAACTCAAACCAGAAGCCTATTCCTGTTTCTGTAGGAAGTTAGCACCCACCCCTCTCCTAGAAAATTGAAATATCCTAGGAAATATTAAAAAGGCAGAATATTTCCCCTAAAAAGATTAGAAACTCAAGAGCGGAAACACCTCAGAAGCAGAAGCTCACCCCCATCTTTGTTAATGGGTGGGCCATTAAGACCTGGGCCAGAATACTTTACATAACAAAGATCTCCAGGTAAAGATATAGCAATTGCCCAAGAGCCCTTTAAGTGCATCATCACCCAGCAAGGCTCAACCAAGCCTGGAACTCAGGAAAGCCTACAAAGTTAGCTAAGACCCCCGTCCCAGGAGTCTGACAGCCAATGGGATACATTTCTTGCACAGGAATAAGAAATACTAAGGTAGGGCCCAACGGAGGGTATATAAGGGTCTCTCAGCATCTTGGCCAGCTCTTCTTGATCTTTTCCTTCACCTTGGAGCATGTGATCCTTCTTTGGAGCTTCAAGCCATGTGGTCCTGCTGTCTACCATTAAATCATCTTTCCAAATAGCCTCCATGTTTCCAGTGTCTTTTTCCCCACTTGGAACTGAATCCAGAAGGATAATTCTTCCAATATTTCTTTCTATCATCTGTCTGTCTGTCTGTCTGTCTGTCTGTCTGTCTGTCTGTCTGTCTGTCTATCTATCTATCTATCTATCTATCTATCTATCTATCTATCTATCTATCTGTCAGCACCTTATTCTTGCATGTGCTTTGCTGTTATGTGGTGAAAGTTTGTTATGAACTCAAAGGTGGTGGTGGTGTTATGAAGTTTGGAATGAAAGTAAATGCTGTATCTCCTTGAGACACTGCCTGAAGGCCATCCAGCTGGAAAAAGGAGGGAGCTGCATACTAAACGAGACTTGAACTGGCCATTAAGAAAACATCTTGCCTGAACCTGACTGGGTTGGGAAGTGAGAGACAATTAAGGGAGAGAAAAGTAGAACTTAGGGATTTTGACATTCAGTTTTCAGTTCTGCAATATACTTGATCTCTGATAAACCTATGTCTTGCTCAACAAATGGAACCAATGATAATTTCTATTTAGAGGTTTAAATTGTGGCAGGTCTATCAGCCCTACCTACCTATCTACCTACCTGCCCACGTATCATATCTGTCAGTCTGTCTGTCTATCTATCTATCTATCTATCTATCTATCTATCTATCTATCTATCTATC